TATTCTGGGTCTTTTATTTTTCCTATCTATTTCTACAAGAAATGCCGTTGGGATTTTGATTGGCATTGCATTAAACCTATAGAGAACTTTTGGTAATATCGCCATTTTGATGATGTTAGTTCTGCCTATCCATGAACAGGGTATATTTTTCCATCTTCTAAGATCTTCTTCTACTTCTCTCTTTAGGGTTCTGTAGTTTTTATTGTATAAATCTTTCACCTCTTTTGTTAGGTTGATTCCCAAGTATTTTATTTTTTTTGAGGATATTGTGAATGGAGTGTTTTTCCTCATTTCCGTTTCAGAAGTTTTGTCGCTGATATACAGAAATGCCTTTGATTTTTGTGTTGATTTTATATCCTGCCACTTTGATGAATTCATTTATTAGTTCTAGTAGTGTTTTTTTTTTTGGTAGACCCTTTTGGGTCTTCTAGGTATAGAATCATGTCATTCGCAAATAGTGATAATTTAAGTTCTTCTTTTCCTATTTTTATGCCTTTAATTTCTTTCGTCTGTCTAATTGCTCTGGCCAGTGTTTTGAGAACTATATTGAATAGAAGTGGTGATAGAGGGCATCCCTGTCTTGTTCCAGATTTTAGGGGGAATGCCTTCAATTTTTCTCCATTCAGAATGATGCTAGCCTGAGGCTTAGCATAGATAGCTTTTACAATGTTGAGGTAAGTTCCTGTTATCCCTAGTTTTTCTAATGTTTTGAACATAAAGGGATGCTGTACTTTGTCGAATGCTTTTTCTGCATCTATCGAGATGATCATATGGTTCTTATCTTTAAGTCTATTGATGTGGTGAATAACATTTATTGATTTCCATATATTGAACCATCCTTGCATCCCAGGGATGAATCCTACTTGATCATGGTGCACAATTTTTTTGATGTGTTTTTGTATCTGATTTGCCAGAATTTTATTGAGGATTTTTGCATCTAGGTTCATTAGAGATATTGGTCTATAGTTTTCTTTCTTTGAGGTGTCTTTGTCTGGTTTCGGAATCAGGGTGATGTTGGCCTCATAGAATGAATTTGGAAGAGCTCCCTCTTTTTCTATTTCCTGAAATAACTTGAAAAGTATTGGTATTAATTCTTCTTTAAAGGTTTTGTAAAACTCCGCTGTATACCCATCCGGTCCTGGGCTTTTCTTGGTTGGTAGTCTTTTGATTGCTTCTTCTATTTCATCCATTGATATTGGTCTGTTCAAATTGTGTGTATCCTCCTGACTCAGTCTGGGCAAATCATATGACTTAAGAAATTTATCGATGTCTTCACTATTTTATTGGAATATAGGTTTTCAAAATAATTTCTAATTGTCTTCTGTATTTCTGTAGCATCTGTTGTGATATTGCCTTTTTCATCCCGTATGTTAGTAATTTGAGTTCTCTCTCTTCTTCTCTTCGTTAGCATGGCTAAGGGTCTGTCGATCTTATTTATTTTTTCAAAGAACCAACTTTTAGTTTTGTTAATTTTTTCAATAGTTTCTTTTGTTTCAATTTCATTGATTTCCGCTCTGATTTTAATTATTTCTTGCCTTCTGCTCCATTTGCTGTTGTTTTGCTCTTCCTTTTCTACGGCTTTGAGATGAAGTGTGAGCTCATTTATTTGTTGGTTTTTCCTTTTTTTGAGGAATGACCTCCAGGCGATGAATTTCCCTCTTAAAACTGCTTTCATTGTGTCCCATAGATTCCGATATGTTGTGTCTGTATTTTCATTTATCTCTAAGAATTTTTTGATTTCCTCCTTTATGTCTTCTGTAACCCATTGATCATTCAGTAACATATTGTTCATTTTCCATGTGATGTAGGATTTTTCCTTCCTTCTTTTATCATTGATTTCCAGTTTCATTCCATTATGATCAGATAAAATGCATGGTATTATCTCCACCCCTTTATATTTACTGAGGGTTGCCCTATGGCATAATATATGGTCTATTTTTGAGAAGGATCCATGTGCTGCTGAGAAAAAAGTATATCCACTTGATGATGGTTGATATATTCTATATATGTCAGTTAAGTCTAGGTTATTGATTGTGATATTGAGTTCTATAATTTCTTTATTCAACTTTTGTTTGGAGGATCTGTCCAATGGTGAGAGAGGTGTGTTGAAGTCACCCATAATTATTGTGTTGTGGTCTATTTGATTCTTGAACTTGAGGAGAATTTGTTTTATGAACGTCGTAGCACCATTATTTGGTACATAAATATTGATAATTGTTATGTCTTGTTGGTGAATGGTTCCTTTTAACAGTATATAATGTCCTTCCTTATCCCTTTTGATTAAACTTAGTCTTGAAGTCGATTTTATTCGATATGAGGATGGCCACCTCTGCTTGCTTACGAGGACCATGTGCGTGGTATATTTTTTCCCAACCTTTCACCTTCAGCCTGTGTATGTCTTTTCCAATCAGATGTGTCTCCTGGAGGCAGCATATTGTTGGATTTGTTTTTTTAATCCATGTTACCAGCCTATTTCGCTTTATTGGAGGGTTTAAGCCATTAACATTTATAGTTACTATTGATATATGGTTTGTACTTCAATAAACTTTGATTATTTATCTTTTTTTTTTAATTTAGTTTGTTTCTCCATGATTAGCTTTCCACCCGCCCTCTGTCTTTACTGAGGCACTTCCCACTGATGGTTTTGGTTATTGTTTTTGATTTCTTCCTCATGTACTGTTTTGCTCAAGATGCTTTGCAGTGCTGGTTTTCTGGCTGCAGATTCTTTTAACTTTTGTTTATCATGAAAGATTTTTATTTCGTTGTCGTACCTGAAGCTTAATTTTGCTGGATACAGAATTCTTGGTTGGCATCCATTGTCTTTCAGTGTTTGAAATACGTTGTTCCAGGATCTTCTCGCTTTCAGCGTCTGTGATGAAAAATCCGTTGTTAACCTTATTGGTTTACCCCTGAATGTAATCTGCCTCCTTTCTCTTGTAGCTTTTAATATTTTCTCTTTGTTCTGTATATTGGATATCTTCATAACAATGTGTCTTGGCGTTGGTCTACTGTGATTTTGTATGCTCGGTGTCCTGTATGCATCTACAATTTGTATATCCGTTTCCTTTTTTATTTCTGGAAAGCTTTCTGTAATTATTTCATTCAGCAGGTTACTCATTCCCTTGGTTTAAATCTCAAACCTTCCTCTATCCCGCTGACTCTTAAGTTTGTTTTTTTTATGTTATCCCATATCTCTTGGAAGTTTTTCTCGTGATTTTTTACCAGCCTTTCTGAGTTGGCTAGACTCTTTTCAAGATGATATATTTTGTCTTCATTATCTGACGTTCTGGCTTCTACTTGCTCCAATCTGTTAGTGATACTCTCATTTGAGTTTTTAATTTGGTTTATAGTTTCCTTCATTTCTAGAATTATTGTTTGATTTTTTTTATAATCTCTATCTTCTGATAAAGATGCTTAACTTCTTCTTTTATATGTTTATGTAATTCAATTTCAGTGTGTTCTTTCACTGTTTGAATTTGCTGTCTCATATCCTCTTCAAGGTTCCATTCCATCTGTCTAAGGTATTCCTTGAGTTCTTTATATGACCATTTTTCTGATGACTCTAGGTCCTCCTGAATATTTAGGCTGTCCTGCATTGTTTGTACTCCTTTTCTTCCTTGCTTTTTCATGCTACTCATGTTACTTCTTGTTCTGTTTGACTGCTGAGTTACTGTTTACTCCTATTAATTTATTTGATGCTTGGTATGAAAGGTATTAGAAGGGAAGGGAAGAAGTCACTAAAGAGAATGAGAGTAAGCAGGTAGAATTCAAGGAAGGGGGAATAAGAAAATTGAAAAGAAATGAAAAGACAAAAGAAAAAAATAGAAAATAAAAAAAGAAAAAAAATTTAAAAAATAATAAAAAAAATAAAAATTTAAATTTAAAAAGAATAAAAAAATTTTTTTAAAAAAGAAATTTTAAAAACAACAACAAAAAAATGAAAGTGAAAAAAAAAACCCAAATTTAAAAAAAAATTAATAAATGCAGTCTTAGAGTTTGATTAACTTCTCTTCCAGTAGGTGGAGCTGTGCCCACCGGGCCATGCTTCTCCTCTCAATACTCGGGAACCAATCACTGTGCAGCAGCTTCTCCTCCCAGACTGGGCGGGTCTCCAATCCTGAGTGCCTAGGGCCTTCTCTTGTATCTAGTCACTTCCCCACTTTTTCTCAAGCCAGGCCCCGCTCACCGGTGACGCTCACCACAATACTGGCTACACGCCAGGTCTGCTGCTCCCGGAAGCCCTGTTTTAATGAACAACTGGGCACACTCTCCCTGTTTGCCATTCCCTTAGACCCTAATTTTGTAGAGCTTGGGGCTGAGAACGCTCAGCGAAATTTGCTTGCCCTCCGGTAGCCACTCCCCCGGTAGCTGGTGCAAGAGACCTCAGTTGTCAGCACTGGTGGGAGCGGTAGCCGGGAGTTCCGCGCCGCGGGTCCCACGCCACTCCTGATTCCCTCGTTCTGGCTATCGCGTTCACGGGAGAGCTGGGAGGGGCCCTTAAGGTTTCCCCGCTGTGAGGAGAGGGAAGGCTAGGAGGTTACACACCTGTCGCCGCTGGTTTCAATGAAGTTATCTCCTCCGCCGCATTCTTGTGATGTCAGTTCTCTGCCATGGTCGTATCCCATGCAAATGGCGACAGTTCGTTTCCCTTTGCCGGGTGACCAATGCAATGGGTGGGTTCTGACTTGCTCTTCCAAGCCCTGTTTCAATCCTGTGGCCACTGCCTATGAAGGCTCAGTTGGCATTTACCTCCGTAGGTGCAGAAGGGCCGACCAGTTGTTTCAGCGGGATTGTTTAGTGCTGAGTCACAGCAGTTTGTCTGCAAGAAGCAGGCGAACGGGAGCTTCAAGGTTTGAAGTTTAGAACAAATTTTTTTTTGGTTATCCATTGATTGCAACTCTTTCATTATATAAATAGGCAGGTTGTTATTTAATTTCAGAACACATTGTGATATGTCATTTCATTGAGTAATACCTGTCTCCTTTTTTTTTTAAACTTAGGTTTCTATTAGTCATGAAAAAGAAAAAAATTTACTGCATAAAAGTCACAGTTTGCAGAAAGAAATCTCCATGATAAGACTAGAAATAGACACAATAAAAAATCAGAACCAGGAAAAGGAAAAGAAATATCTTGAGGATGTTGAAATTGCAAATGAAAAGAATGATAACCTTCAAAAGACAATAAAACTGAATGAGGAAACATTTACAACAACAGTACTCCAATATAATGGACAGCTTAGTATCCTGACAGCTCAGAATACAATGCTAAATTCTAAACTGGAGAATGAAAAACAAAACAAGGAAAGACTGGAAATAGAAGTTGAATCATACCGTTCTAGACTGGCTGCTGCTATCCATGATTATGATGAAAGTCAGGCATCAAAAAGAGACCTAGAACTTGCTTTCCAGAGATCAAGAGATGAGTGTTTTCGTTTACAGGATAAGATGAATTTCAGTATATCTAATCTAAAAGATAACAATGAGATTCTTTCCCAACAGCTTTCGAAAGCTGAAAGAAAATTCAATAGTCTAGAAATTGAACTCCACCATACAAAAGATGCTCTTAGAGAAAAGACTTTGGTTTTAGAACAGGTACAAAGGGACCTAAACCAAACACAGGGCCAAATGAAGGAAATTGAATGTATGTATCAAAATGAACAATGTAAGGTGAATAAATATGTTGGTAAGCAAGAATCTTTAGAGGAGAGATTATCTCAACTACAAAGTGAAAATACATTGCTTCGACAACAATTAGATGATGCTCAAAACAAAGCTGACAATAAAGAAAAGACAGTAATTAATATCCAAGACCAATTTCATGACATTGTAAAGAAACTTCAATCTGAGAGTAAAAAACAAAATCTCATGCTAGAAGACAGAAATAAGGAGTTAATCAATGAATGTAATCATTTAAAAGAAAGGCTGTATCAATATGAAAATGAAAAAGCAGAAAGAGAAGTAAGTATTAAGAAAGATGAATATTTTTCAAATTTCCTGAAAAAAAACTCAAAAAATATTATTTCACTATGGCTAGATGTTTAATATAGTTGAATATAAAAATATATAGATTATAAATTTATTTGCTATATCAGCTCAAAAACGTATCTTGGTTCCAGGAAATATAGGATAGCCTTGATTTCCAGCACAAAGAAATGGTTCATGTTTGAGGTGTTGAGTATGCCAATGACCTAATCTTATCATTACAAATTATATACATGTTTTTGTTTGTTTGTTTGTTTTTAGAGAGGGGGGGAGAGAGAGAATTTTTTAATATTTATTTTTTAGTTATTGGCGGACACAACATCTTTGTTTGTATGTGGTGCTGAGGACACAAGCCAGGTGAGCGCGCTACCGCTTGAGCCACATCCCCAGCCCAACATGTTTTAAGCCAGGCACAGCGGTGCACACCTGTAACCTCATTGGCTCAGGAGACTGAGGCAGGGAAATTGAAAGTTCAAAGCCAGCCTTAGCAACTTAGCAAGGCCCTAAGCAACTTAGGGAGACTCTGTCTCTAAGTAAAAATATAAAAGGTAGGGATGTGGCTCAGTGGTTAAGTGCCTCTGGATTCAATCCTTGGTGACAGGAAGGAAGGAAAGAAGGAAGGAAGGGAGGGAGGGAGGGAAGAAGGAAAAATAATCTATTGGAAGGATTCAAGCAAAGAATTGAATATGTGAGGAACCCTGAATTTTATTGTGCCTCTAATAAAAAAGGAGGAGCATGTCACACTGTGTAAAAACTCATCACCACCGTTTCTGCCCATGTACCTATTTCTTTTTGAGACTTCAGTATATTTTTAAATTAAAACTTCATCAGGGGAAGAGTGGATAGAAGACTGAATCTAATATAAAGGGAATAGAATAGTATTAGGCAGGAAGACCATGCCTTCTGCATACACAATTGAATTCAGTAATAAACAGAAGTACATACACACTTGAGAGAAAGGTGAGTTGTGGTGATATTTTATTAATATAATTTAATACTAATGTGATTTATAAAATCAGTAATAGAAATATCTTATCAGGCAGTTGTGAGACAACTTCAACAAGAACTGGCTGATACCCTGAAAAAACAATCTATGTCAGAGGCTTCACTAGAAGTTTCATCACGTTATCGCATTAGTTTGGAGGATGAGACACAGGATTTAAAGAAAAAACTAGCTCAAATAAGAAGTCAAGTACGTATGAAATTTAACATGTCAGTAGTTAATTGACAGTTTAAAAGTGTTTTGTGATACTAATTCCAGCGAACAAGCTTTTCTCTTTTCATTATAATTAATGTTATTACAATTTTAGTATCTTTGTAATGCAATTATTTCTTAAATTCTAACTTGCATTCTTATAACTTCACACATCTTTCCTTAAAATATTTACCCTTAGGAAATTTGAGAATTTTACATCATACATCACAGAAGTTGAGAGAGACATATTTCTCTTAAATAGTATTTTTTTAGTGATTATTGCCATTCTGAGGTGAGGCAGATTAAATCAGAGAATAATGTTTAATGGAATGTTTTAGAAAATTACCTTATTTCTTCCCTGTTGTGAATAGATACAGAATCTGTATGTATTTATTTTGTGGATTTCAAGATGATTTGCACAGAAAAGCCATTATACTTTTCTCAAAAATGCAAAAGTTTTAGATTAATCTTAAAATTATTTGAAACATTAGGCATTTCCCTCAGTTTCTTTTCTTTCATTTTAGACATTATAAAATCATAGAAATATTCAAATCATGTATAGAATTTGTATCCAAAGTAGAGAATAAGAAAATTATCTAGATTCTGCCTTTGGATTTTTTAAAAAGCATCTTTATTGAGATATAACAACGTACCATACAGTTCACCAATTTTAATCATAAAATTTATAGTCTCTTAATATATTCAGAGTTGTATTACCATGCAATTTTAGAACATTTTCATCAACTTGAACAGAAACCCCAAATTTCCTAGCTATTATCACCCCCACCCCCCAGTCCCTTCATCTTCCCCAGTCCTGAGAAACTACTAATCTAATTACCTTGTTCTGGACGTTTCACATAAATAGAGTCATGCGATATTTAGTCTTTTTTTTTTTTTTTTTTTGCACCAGGGATTGAATTCAGGGGCACTTATCCAGTGAGACACATCCCCAGCCCATTTTTGTTTTTGGTTTTGTTTTGTTTTATTTTGTTTGTATTTTAGTAAGAGTAGGGACATGGTCTCACTGAGTTGCTTAGGGCCTTGCTAAATTGCTGAGGCTGGCTTTGAACTCAAATCCTCCTGTATCAGCCTTCAGAGCTGCTAGGATTACGCCCAGCCAAATCCTTTTTGACTTGCTTCTTTCATTTAGCATAATGTTTTCAGAATCCATCTCTGTTATAGCAAGTGTCAGTACTTCATTTCTTTCTCTCATCAAGTAATATTTTGTTATATGATTATGCCACTTTTTTATTTATCAGTTGATGAAATTTAGGTTGATTCTAGTTTGGGGCTATTATTAATAATGCTGCTACTAACATTTATTTAAAAGTTTTTAAAAAGAACTTTTGTGAACGTGTTTTTATTCCCCTGCCATTGAATTTTATCCTCTGCTATTGGGCTGATTTCACCACTCTTTTCTGCCTTATTTATGCTGTCCTTTCTACCTTTCAGTTTTTATTCATTTGGCCTCATTTATTCAGAATTGGCTCAAAATTTGCTCTTTTTCTTGATGTTTTCTCTCAAAACAAAGATCAAACTTGCTCTTTTCAGTACTTGTCCCTGTAGAAAAATTTAGCCCTAAATTTTACATTGGTATTAATTTTTGGAAGAGAATAAAATCTTGTTTAAGTATACATTTACCAAAGTGGGGAACAGTATCTGATATGCACTTCACTTACCCTTGAATAAATTGAAAATATTTTTGCTTTTGCAGTCATTAGGATAAAATTAAGTACTTTATACTATGCCAGTAACATCTTTGAGACATTGGCATAAGACTTTTATTCTACCCATAGTTTAAGCAATTAAATATAAAGTTGAAAGCACTAAATCTAACAAGAGGATTGTTTTGTCAAATGCTAATATTTTTCTTACTATAAAAAAAATCTAGATTTGACTTCCTTTATTATGTAACTATAACAGGTATTTATAGATTTTTAGTACTTTACCAATCAAAAAGCTCTGGCTACAGCTTTTCTGATATGTTACACTGTTATTGAGTCCTAGGTCTTGGCCTGACACCAGAGGTTCCAACAAACCAGCAGGAAATAGAATTTTACTTTCAGTGTGTCACACTGGGAAGACAGATCTAAGAGCTATCTTTGGGGTGTCAGTAGCCATCTTGGGTTATAAGTAGAGGAAAAGAATAAAGGTGTAAATTGGGAGTTTGCACAGCACACTAAAACTTATCAATGAGAGAGTCTTCATTCCATGTGTAGGAGTTTCAGAAACTCATAAGGTTATTTCCATTTGCTTCATAGGATATTTATCTCTCAGGCCTATGATCTTAGAAGGAGCACACTCCATTTGCTTTCCAGGATGTTTTTTATCAGACTGATGATCCTAGAATTTAAGGCAAACTGAGGAAAAGAAAAACTTCAAAAAAGGCAGGTCAGAGAGACAAAATGTTGTCATTTAGGTGAAAATTGAGTCCTCCTACAATTCCCCAGTAAGTTCCCTTTCCATTTCAAAGGAAATGGGTAATCATTTCTTCTGTAGGTATTTCTGACTAACAGAGCTGGATGTAGGGAACTTGGAATGAAAGACTGACAGCATGAGGTAGCCAGGTTTAAAGCTGATATTGCTTGGGGTCACATTTAGTTCATCTAACTGGATAGCCTGATATTTACCCACCCTTCCCTTCGTTAGCCAATATCCTTCGGTTTTGGTCCAACAAAGTTAGGACCTGGTTATGGTACATACAAGCTGTCCAAGTGTAAACTTTTCAGCTTCCTTTAGCAAATCATAAGTGGCTGCCACTGCCAGGAGATAAGAGGGCCATCCCTTGGCTGTGTGATCTAATTGTTTTGAAAAGTAAGCTTCAAATTGGGGAACTTCCTCCAGTAATTGTTAAGAATTCCAAACCAATTTTGTGCATTTTGTACATACAACATTTAAGTTTAGGGCTTCTCTAGGTTGGACAACCCAGAGGGACTTTGAAAGCAGTTTGACATTCTATTTTCCAGATCAAGGATTCAAGATCTGTTCTAAGTACAGCTTTATATAAAGGGTTTGTTATAGGCCCAAATTTAGGTGTCCATATTCTACAATACCCTGTCATCTCCAGGAATTCTCATAACTTAATGTTGTGCTGAAGGGGCTTGGATGTGAGCAATAAAGCCTTCTTTTGGTCATCCACTAGGCTTCATTGACCTTGCTATAATTGGAACCCTAGGTAAATAACTCATTGCAAACCTGCACTTCAGAGGGAAAATACTTTGTCTCCATACTCAGCAAAGCAGTTTAGAGTCTGGACAGTTGCCTCAGCAACTTAGGCCCTAAGCAAGTTGAAAAGTCAGACTGGTATGTTTTGAACAACCAATTAAAAAAAGAAAGAAAGAAAGAAAAGTCAGACTGGTGATTAACAAGTCATCTACATATTGTAGTAGTGTTCCCTGGTTTAGTTGTAACATTCTTAAATTATTAGCCAATATATCTCCAATGATCGTGGGCAAGTTTTTCAATCCTTGAGGAAGCACTGCCCAACAGTATTGAAGGGTGGCTTTTGATTAGGGATGTGTCCATTCAAAGGCAAAAAAATATGCTCTTTGCAGAGCAATGCAAAAAAAGCATTTTTTAAATCAAAGACAATAAATTATTTGTACTTTGCCAGGAAAGGCGTTTAGAAGGATATAAGTATTAGACACTGTTGGGTGAATGTCTTGGATGTTTTCATTAATAGCCTGCAGATCCTGAACAAAGCAATATTCCTCAATATTGCCAGCAGTACAAAGGCTGATCACACCATACTTTAAAAACTTTTAGAGTATAGGTTGAACTCTTTCAAGTGTCTCCATCATAAGGAGTTATTGTTTTAAGGCAGGAGTTGGTGTACCTCCTTTTAGGACGATCTTAATGGGCAAGGCATTTTTAGCTCTGCCTAATGCACCATCAGCCCATATTTCTTGAATAATATGTTGGTGGAATTCTGGGGATATTGACTCACTCTCAAATAGCTTCTCTTGGATCAACATCAGCTAGAGGTAAAGTGCCTACTCAGAATGGGATTTGCACTTGCATTTGCTATTTTTCCCAGGGAAAGGCTTATGTAGACATTTAGTTTGCAGAGCAAGTCCCTGCCTAGGAGTGAAACTGGGCATTGAAGAAAACTGTTAAGTGTAAGTCTTCTAAGCTGTATTCCAGAGGCTGCAGAAAAACCTGTTCTCAGAGTTTTCCTTGTACTCCTATAATAGGCACACAATCTTATTTCTTTGTCAGGGGATCAGCAAGACTGAAAGAGGAGAGCTCATGTCAATTAGGAAGGTTAAGGGTTTGTTCCTACTGGCATTTATACCTGGGACTCCTATGAAGAGATAATGATTGGACCCAAAGGGTTATGGGAACTCCTAGGGTACCTTAGTCCTCAGTAAAGTCACCATCTGATGGTTTTGTTCTTCATTGAGCTGATTACTTCAGAATTTAGACCAAAAAAAAATAAAAAATAAGAATTTGGGAGTTGGGTGTGGTGGCACACACTTATATTCCCAGTGACTTGGGAGGCTAAGACAGGAAGATTGCAAGTTAAAGACCAGCCTCAGCAACTTAGGCCCTAAACAATTTAGCAAGAACCTGTCTCAAAATAAAAAACAGAAAAGGGTTAGGGATATGGTTTAGTGGTTAAAGCACCCCTGGAATCAATCACTATTACCAAAAAATAAATAAAATAAAAAGAGTTTGGGACAGTGTTTCTTCCAATGCTGATTTTCTTTACAATATGTGCATTAGTCTTTAACTAAGGTCCTTTTTCTTTTTCAGGTTAAGCACCCAGTATTAGGCTCCTAGTTTTGAGTGAAGATGATGACCTGCTTAGCCCTTTTAATTTCTTGGTCATTAAAGACCAGCTGAGAAGGGTTTATACCCATGGCTCCTTTGATCTTTTAAAGCTCACACCTGATGTCAGGAGTGCTTTTTGTTTAATGTATGTAGGTCATATTGAAAATTCATGCATACTCAGGGGCCTCATTGTCAAGGTACTATCTGTACTATCTGTAACTCTGGTATATTCTTTTTAGCCAGGCTAAGGAGTCTTCAGTAGACCCCTGCTATAGCTGTTATATTTTATTTACGCTCTTTGTCATGGCTACCTGTTGCCTGAGCCTTCCCAAGATATACTTAATGATAGTGGTCCAGTCAGGCGATGTTGTTGTTCTTGTTGTTTGTATTCCAGTTCAGTTCTGTAGTAGGTATTGCATCTACCAGATTTGAAGTGTTTGGGGAACAGCCTCGTAAAGATCTGACTCCTTATTATCTTTATTTAAGACAAGTCATCTCTCATCAACAACAGTTAAAATTATGTTAAACAGAGTTTGTATAGCAGCCCAAGTGGGAGAATGGGTGACAAAGATACTAAAAAAAGAGTGGAACACACTTATAATTCCTGAAGCCCAGGAGCGTCATAAGTTCAAAGCCAGCCTCAGCAACTTAGCAAGACCCTGTCCCAAAATAAAAAGTAAAAAGGACTAGGGATGTGGTTCAGTGGTTAAGCACCGCTGGGTTTAATCCCTAGCACACACACACACAAAAAAAAGGATTTTAATTATCTTCTGGAGGTTAGTTTGATAAGGAAGGTTAATGTTCTTTGCTAATACTATGTATAGCTCAGTATGTGCCACATACTCTTCAAGTACTTTATGTCTATTCCCTTATTTATTCTTCCCAGCAGTCCAGTAAGTAAATACTATTATTTTTGTTACTTGACAGATGAAGAAACTTGAGACACAAAAACTTAATTTACTCAAGATCACACAACTTAGTGACTGGCCAGCTAAGATTCAAACCCCAGCATTCTGGCTTCTGTGTAGATACAGCCTCTCAAATTATTCAGTGAAACATCTAGTTGTCACCTACTGCATAGTATTAATTTTTGTCATTACTGGCATAAATGTGGTCATATATATATATATGGCCATATATATCTATACCTGTATATATATATATATATATATATATATATATAGTTATAAATATATAGAGAGAGATCAGATAGATAGATAGATAGACTTTTCAAATCATAGTTGGGTAGGTGGTGCTTGGAATACAAAAATACAAATGTTTTCCATAAAGGAATTTTCTATTTTTCTCCATTTTTTTCAGTTTTGTTAGTTTAAAAGCAAGAGGTCTGGGTATATCCCCAGGCAGAGTGGGCCTGGATTCAAGATCTAGCACCACAAAAAAACAACAAAAGCAAGAGTAATGTGTTTCAGCCTTTGAGTAGGGGTCTGTAAACTTTTTCATAAAGAGTCAGTATTATTTGAGGCTTTGTGGGCCATTAGATTTCTACTGCAACAACTCAGTTAACTCTGCATCTGCATTTATAGCACAAAAATAGATACAATGTGCGAATTAAGGGGTATGTCTATATCCTAACAAAAGTTTAGCAAAAAGAAAAAAACAAGTGATAGGTAAGTTTATACTTGATTATTGATACCATTTTTTTTCTTTGTTGTAGTTACAAGAAGCAGAGGATCAACACACAGAGGCTGCTCAATGTGTTGAGAAGATGCAGGATCACTTACAAAAGTATAAGCAGCATACAAATAACTTGAGTATAATTAAAATAAGCAGTGTAGTATGAGAATTATATCAGTTACTATAACAAAGCTGTATGAAGTCAGGAGGAAAGTTCAGACTTAAGTTACTTAAAGTGCATAATTTAGGGTTGGGGTTGTAGCTCTGTATTAAAGCTCATGCTTTGCATTATGAAGCCAGTACTGCCAAAAGAAAAAAGTGCATGATATTTATACATTATCCAATAAACTTAGCTTGAAAAATAATAGTTACCAAATTAATGTCTTTCCAAATTTTGAAGAATTTAGGTACTCTTTCAGATGTTTTTCCAAAAATTATGTAGTATTTTAAAAATTGTTGTAAGAATAATTATTTTAAAATATACATTTTAGGCTTGAAATCCAAAATTCTAAGTTAAAAGATACAATAAAAAAACAAACAGGAAAAATTGAACAGCTTCAGAAAAACCTGTTAAGTGCAAATTTGGTAAGTCAAGCTCTTATTAATCTGTGTCATGCTAAAATGGAATTTTTTATTTCTTCAGTAGTATATAGGAATATTTTAGGCAATATGAAAAATCTCATTGATAAAAATATTTGTGTGTTTACATTGATAATATTGTTAAGTCCTCCCTGTAGAAGTTGACTAAATGTATAAATTATTTTGATAGTAAGATTTTTAAAAAACAGTGTTTTACACATTTCACATTTTGTTTATCTGTTCATCCATTAATAGACATGTGAGTTGTCATGCTGTTCTGGGCATTAGTATGCAAGTATCTGTTAGAGTCCCTGATAATATTTTAGAATAAGAATAACTTTTTATTCCTATAAATTTAAGTAATTATTTGATTTAGAATTCTGAATTTTTCTCATAATCTAAACCTTTCAGTGATGTTTTTAGAATGAAATACTTTGTATTCCTCATTAAGAATGAATAAGAGGTCATTATACAAGCATTTTTACCCAAAGGGATATGTTTTCTCTTTGGATTAAAAAAAAAAAAAAAAAAAAACGACAGATGCCACTGAAAAAGTTGGCTTGGTTGCTTGCTTTAATAGGAACTTACAGAGTAACATAGTGCTCCTAGACTTATAGGTTCAGAAATAATATTTTTCCATTCATCTTTTGTTCATTAGCCTTTCAAAGACCTAACAGTCCAATCTCAGAAGGACTGATGGTGCATCAATTCAGGATGCCATTTTATTGATGTATAATAAAAATCATATAACTCTTTGTGGGCAGGGTGGGTAGCTGGGATTGAACCCAGGGCCTTGTTCATGTGAGGCAAGCACTCTACCAACTGAACTGTATCCCAGCCCAAAAATCATATAGCTCTTTACCAAGCAAAGTAGAATTCTATTATTCATATTTCCTTTGTAAGAATTATGATCACAAGATTGCATTGCGAACATTAAACTGGAGCAGTGAGTTATTTGCTTCCACTAACAGTTTCTTTTTTTTTTTTCTTTTTTTTTTAATATTGTTTTAGTTGTTGATGAACCTTTATTTATTTATTTACAAATGGTGCAAGAATCAAACCTAGTGCTTCACATGCTAGGTAAGCACTGAGCCACAACCCTAGTCCCTAATTGGTTTCCTTAAGTCATTGCAGCTAGATTCATGCAATTCCATTATATAGATACACTTGTCAGGGGAACTATAAAATTTATCTAGAACATCTAACTAGAACTAGAATGTAATAAGGTATAAAAAATTAAATAAATTTGTAATAGTACCCAAAACTATTGAACTTACTCAAAAATAATGAGGGATCTTCTAAAGATTCCCAAAGAAATTATTTAGGAGTATGACATAGTAATTAACTACTTTGAAGTCTACTCTTATTAAATAAAAATTTTTTTAAAAATTGGATTCAATCAGAAATTTCATGAGAGACAGCTTTCAGCCAACTCAATCAGTAACCCCTAACTTTCTGCAGAAAGTTCTTGTTTTGTGGGTCTCTATGCTAGTTTACCTGGGTTGAGACATTTGATATACACAACTTAGAGATAAAGAAAAGTCCAGACTGGAAAGAATGGAGAGTTATAACTGACTCAGGCTTCCACACAATATGGTTGAGTATACATCTGAAAGGAAATTGAGAACAAGACTTCTTTAATGTTATGTCTTTATAAGAAATTACCTAAAAGGAAACAAAAGCAAACAACTAACAAGCTTCATGGAAATGTTTAGCATTATGAAAGAAAAACAAGATGAAGTATTCTGGTCATCATCCTAAGGGTGAGAACCTCCCTGCCACTCCCCAAATTAGAAAACTATTACTTAAAGTAACATTGTTTCAGTTAGCTTTTTTGCTGCTGTGACTAAAGGACCTGACCAGAACAACTGTAGATTAGGAAAAGTTTATTAGAGAACTCATGGTTCCAGAGGTCTTAGTCCATAGAAGGCCAGCTTCATTCTTCAGGGCTTGAGGTGAGGCAGAACATCATGGCAGAAGAGTGTGGCAGAGGGAAGCAGCTCACATGGTGATCAGGAAGCAGAGAGAGTTGGTCTCCACTCTCCAAATACAAAATATATTACTCCATAGCCATGTCCCCAGTGAACCACTTCCTCTAGCACACACCCCGTGCCTCCAGTTGCCATTTAATCCCATCAGGGATTAATTCACTAATTAGGTTAATGGTATAGCCCAATCATTTCTTCTCTAAACCTCTTGTATCACACATGAGCTTTTAAGGGACATCTCACATCCAAACCATAACAAACATCAGTAAGACTCATCATAAAAGTGCATAATGGGGCTGGGGTTGTGGCTCAGAGTTAGGAAGAGTGCTTGCCTAGCATGTGTGTGTCACTGGGTTTTATCCTCAGCTACCTCATAAAAAATAAAATAAAGGTATTGTGTCCACCTATAACTATAAAATAACTTTAAAGAAAATAAAATGCATAAGACTGCTATCTACAGAAGTTGTCCACACCAAGTCATAGCCTATGAGGTTATTGTCTATGAGAAGTTAACTAAAAGAAAGAAGTAAAATTATAAATGATCTCACTAATGAGGTTAGGTTTAGAAATGTGGATTAGACAGTCTTGAGAGTCTTAAATCTCTGTTGAAGTCTTGAGATATAAGGAACTCTGATGATTTTAAAAGACAAATAGGAAAGGACAGAACTAAACATCAAGGACTTCAATGTTTAGAAGAGAAGTGGGTCTAAAGGAGCAGAGGGAAGGGTTGTGGTCACTGTTATCATTGCTGCTGAGGAAAAAAAAATACTTCTCAGAAATACTTAAAGAAAGGTTATTGATGGACCTCAAATTTTTTTATTGGAATTATAGAAAATCAGATTTTTAGTGTAAGAGAAGATAATGTGGTGAAAATATATTTTAAATTGAGATCTTATACTAAAGAATATTAAAATATAATGTAAGAGGACAAACAGAAAGCCACAAGAATCAAGAAAAAGTTATGTTTTTGTATACCAATCAAAGACTTAGGGTGGGGGTTGTAGCTCAGTGGTGGAGTGCTTGCTTTGCATGTGTGAGAAATTGGATTCAATCCTCAGCATCACATAAACATAAATAAATGAAAGTGTTGTGTCCATCTACAACTAAAAAAAATATTTAAAAAAAACATAAAGAGAAATAGCTTGAAACTCCTGGGGAAATGCTTACAAAGTAAAAGTATTTTTCTCATTTCAGAGTCAGGTGAGTATCAAAAATGTAATGGGAATCAGATGGGAGTTTCACCAAAATTATCTTAGCTAAATATGATTTAAATAAATTTGGAATATTCTTGAACTACTGATGAAAATGTTTCTAGAACATGTTTAGAAACTAAATGTAAATATAACCAATCTTTAAGAAACATTTTTCTTCATAACTTATGTGCAAAAACTTCTATTTTGAACAAATTATGGCAGTTTAACTTGTAGAAAAGAAAATGATGAAAATGTAGATGAGTTTTAGATATTTTAAGAAAATCATTATTTTTGAAGTCTGTCCATAATGGCATCAGATTTATGAAATATCTAAACACATATTAGTCATGAATTCATGAGAAATAATATTTCTAAGAAAAAAGAGTCTACATTTTTTAAATAAATTTTTTTAATTTTTTAAGTCTGAAGATGATAAGGAACAATTAAAGAAACTTACAGAATTAAAACAATCTCTGGAATATACTTTGGATCAAGAAAAGAAGAAAAATGGCAAATTAGAAAAAGAGCTAACTGGGTAAATTTTATATTTCAAATCTTTTTTAGCTAATAATTAATTGATATTACTGTAATTTTACTAAAATCTAAATATAAATTTATTTTATATCTGCATTTTCATAATTAAACAAGTTACTCTAGTGGTTTTAGAAACAGCAGAAGTGCCTTTGGGGTATAATCTCAATTGCACTGTTCTAATCATCTACTTAGAATTTTTATTTCTGAAGATGTTTTTGCTTTCTTTTTTTGATTCCTTGTCTTCAGTATTTACACATTTGAATATCTAAAAGCCTATCTTTGTCATTCCTTAACAACTTCAAAAATTATCTTGTTTTTTTTAATTATAAAATATATTGTGGAGATATACTTCTTTATTCCCATATGTATATGAGAAATGTTATTAAAATTCTGGGTTTAATACACACACTTACACACATACATACATATCCAATATAGAGTCAGCCTTTGGTAATGTGCAGGGTTTGGTTCCAGGAACCCTGCAGATACAAAATTCATTGATATTCAAGCCCCTTATATAAAATAGTATAGTACAGTTTGCATGTACTCCATCTTCCTATATACTTTAAATCATCTCTGGATTACCTAATACATAATGTAATATAAATAATTGTTGTACTATATTGTTTAAAGAATAATGTCAAGAAAAATGTTTTGTACATGTTCTGATACAATTTATTTTCAAGTATTTTTGATCCATAGTTGGTTGAATACTTGGATATGGAACCTACAGATGTGGAAGGCTTAATCATACGTATATCTCATACAAATATATATGTCTGAGTTAAAAATGAAGAATTAAATCAACAGTTGTGTTTCTATCACTAGAGGCAGGGGGTGATGGGGAAAGGACAATGTTTTTCTCTATCTTTACAGCCACTTCTATGACTGCTTTTTTATTTATTTGCTTAGAAATTGAATTTATTCTCTGATTCTAGTCAATATTTTTTTTCTCGTTAACTATCTATTTTTATGGTTTTGCATCTCTTGCATTTTCTGACACAAAGCCTAGCAAAAAACTCTCTTTTTTGTACGGGAATGAACCTATCAGGGACTTAACCACTGAGCCACGTCCCCTGCCCTTTTTATATTTTATTTAGAGACAGAGTCTAGCTAAGTTACTTAGGGCCTTGCTAAATTGCTGAGGCTGGTTTTGAACTTTCGATCCTCCTGCCTCAGCCTTCTGAGCTGATGGGATTACAGGCATGCACCACACCCTGCTACATTTTTTTTAAAAGTCTAATTTCTTTTATGACTTGCTTCTTTTACTTAACATAATGTTTTCAAGGTTCATCTTTGTTGTATCAGTACTTAATTTCTTTTTATGCTGAGTAATATCCTTTACCCATTATCTGTTGATATCTTATAAAACTCTGCCTGGTTTTTGTTGTTGTAGTTTTATTTTCCCTCAGTTCAGACTTCAAAGATTTTTTTCCTCTTTCTGTTCTAAATGATTTCTTTGATATTTTGTTTTTGTTTTATTTTGCTATATTTTGTTGGGATTGAACCCAGGGCCTCTCACACGCTAAGCACATGCTTATCGCTGAGCTATACCCACTGTCCTGTTTTCTTCTTATGTAGATCATGATCAACAGAGTCCAAAGTGTATTTTTGTATCCCCTTAAAACATGTATTTTTTACCTTAATTACTGATCTCTGAGTTAAAACTAATATTTAACAATAAGTTATTTTTATATTAATAATAAAATGCATATTGATAATTATAAGAATTTGTATTAACACTTTGTCTGCCTTACATATCATAAAATTTTTCTTCATATTTATCTAAGATGCTAATTTCATTAGAATGCTTTCAAATAATGTTGGGTTAAAACAGATGAGAGCAGATCATAATTTATAGCTGTTTCTTTTCTGTGATAAAACATTATCTAATGATTTTGCTAGAATATTATTGTTAATATATAATAATTATTAAATATTTACTCTTTAAAAACTTCTACCCATTCTCTACATTCTTTCAGGTTTAAGAAACTTTTAAAAATGACAAAAACAAAGTTAAATAAGTATGAAAATGGGGAGTTTAGTTTCCATGAAGATTTAAAAAACAGTTCATTTGAAATGGATATTCCAATTAATATGCTTATATACAAGGTAATTTTAATCAGTTTTGGGAAAAATCAAGCTTATTTGGGGAAATATAAACTTTAAAATACTTTGCACAGTGAAATGAAGATTTTTTTAATTTTGTAGACTTTTTTGTATGATTTTTCTATTAAAAGAGCATAATGTTGATTTTATGATGTCTTAAACCCTGGCTAATAACCTAAAATCAAGCAGTAAACTATTATATGACCCCAAATCATGAGTACCAAATCAGTTTTTTCTTTCTTTCATTGAGAATTTTTTATTAGATCTTTATACATAGTAATTGGGTTCATCCCAACAAACTCATATATGCATTTGTTGGGATAATATTAACATACCATGGGCTGGGGATGTGGCTCAAGCGGTAGCGCGCTCACCTGGCATGCATGCGGCCTGGGTTCGTTCCTCAACACCACATACAAACAAAGATGTTGTGTCCACCGAAAACTAAAAAATAAATATTAAAAAATTCTCTCTCTCCCTCTCCCTCTCTCTCTCACACACTCTTTAAAAAAAAAAAAATACCATAAAATCTAGCTATTTAAACCACACAGATAGAATCTTTTGGCATGTTTGTGCAATCATCACCATAATTTTAGAACATTTTTATCAACCTAAAAAGAAACTATCACCCATCCCCTTCCCCACTTATGGAATCACCAAACTATTGCATGTCTATAGATTTGCCTCTTGTAGACATTTCATGTCAATGGAGTCATACAATATGTGGTCTAATTTCTTTTATGACTGCTTCTTTTACTTAATGTTTTCAAGGTTCATTCTTGTTGTATCAGTACTTAATTTCTTTTAATGCTGAGTAATATCCTTCTATATGAATATACCATACATTTTGTTTATCCATTCATCAACTGATGGACCTCTCAGTTATTCTACTTTGGGCTTTTATTAATAAAGCTGCTATGGGCATGCATGTAAAAGTTATTGTGCTTGCAAATGTTTTCATTTCTCTTGGTTGTGTACATATGAGTGGAATTGAATTGAAAAAAGATCCATGTTGCAGAATGTATTTAAATTTGCTCCTGTGGAAACTTTTTGCTGCTTGAAGAAATTTGTGCCTTGTTGACTTCATGACATGATGGGAAGTCATGCTTGCAAAGATGAGTCCATACCTTTCCTTTTCTACATTCAGTCCTTTAGAAATTCTTACCCAGAGCTTCCCTCTTGGTTCCCATTTCTATCAAATTTTCGTCATAAGATCTGCTGATTCGGTCTCCTATTTATACCATTGTTTTATTAACTCATAATTTATCAAATCACCTATGAATTATTGAATTTTCCCATACAAGGAAGAATTTTTCAGCAGTACAGCAATTAAAAGTCAGGTAATGCTCAGGCAATTTATCAAAGACAAATAATAAACAAGTAATATGAATTTCAAGATTTCAAAGCCACTTTGATATGCAGAAGCATATAGCACAACAAAGATGAGATGATCTTCTTTATATAAACAAACTTGAAATAAGATAAAGTAGAAGTTATATTCAATTTCTTTATATTCAAAAGATAGTACATTTGTTTTATTGCCCCTGAGGAAAGAAAAATGACAATTTAATACTAAATTACTAAATACTCAAAGCTGCCTCTCTCTTTTGGAATCCACTAATTTAAATCAGATAAAACATCTGATTTTGATTATTAAAACCAAATATTTCTAGTTGTTTTTCAACTATTATACTTCAAATCATGTCTCCTTGCTTCCCATTCTTCCATATTCCCTAACTTTAGGGAAAATTCTATAAGAATTTGCAATTAAAGGAAACTTTTTAGAGAGAATTTTTTAATATTTATTTTTTAGTTTTCGGTGGACACAACATCTTTATTTTATTTTTATGTGGTGCTGAGGATTGAACCCAGCGCCCCGCACATGCCAGGCGAGCACACTACCACTTGAGCCACATCCCCAGCCCCAAGAAAAACTTATTCCTTGATGTCTTTCTTCTAATTGCTGCTTCCCATTGGCATTGTTTGTCATTAATAAATTAGCTTCAGTGTTTATTAGATCCTACTTTAAAGGAGATAATTTCTACTATGTAAGTTTTCATTTATTATTATCTCTATTTTAAATCCATCTTCTGTATTTATTGTTCCTTAATAAATTACCCAAAGTTTAGTGGCTTAAAACAATATTTCCTTCTCAAACTTGACAAGGAAAATTGTCTCTGCTCTCCTGAGCTTCAGTGGGAACAGTTCATTGACTGGGGGCTGGAATCTTCCTAAAGTTTGCCCACTAGTATGTCAGGTTGGTTTTGGTTGTTGGTGCTGGTCACTAGCAGAAACTTCAGTTGAGACAGGAAGCTGGAACATCTACACTGGTATGCCTAGGCTCTCTTTGTTGCCTAAGCTTCCTCACAACTGGGTTTCAAGTGTCAGCAGAATGAGATAGCTTTATAAACTAGTGTTGAAGGTCATGTGTCACCATTTTTATCACACTCTAGTCATTACAAGCAAGTCAAACCCTAAATTCTCTATTTTATGGAATTAAGTGTGAAAGAATACCATGTTCTCAAACTAGTACACTCTGTCTTCTTCCACAATGTTTTTACATTGCGCCTACTTGCTACAAGTCTCAGTCATTATGGCATTAGTTTCAAGCTCAGAGTGCAAGATCTTACCATCTTTATCAGGTTCAGATGGGGGCTGAGTGGTTTTTTTTAGCCTTTTTTTCCCTGAGGAATTTCCAGGGTCCAAAGGACTCTTCATTTTCACTCGTCTCTTTCAGTCCAAACAAGCAAGCAGGGTTTTTGCTACTACATTGTTTTAAGAACTTTTGAATCTACTGTGAATTTCATTGGGGTTGGTGCCATTAGAAAAGGCACTTTGACAAATCTTTTTGTGACAGGCTTTTCACCTTGGGCTTCCTGTGAAGATATACTGGGACAATTTCTTTAAGATTTATATACCTTAATGATCCTTAACAGAATTTTGAGGCACTGCCTTCAGTCTTCCTGTAGTCTTCATAAAGGGACTTACAGTCATGTTCTTGGATTCATCTTTACATGGATCCAAGTAGCACTACAGTTTTGATATTATCCCATAGGCCATTTATTTTAGCATTATTTGACAGTTTGATGTGTGGCGATAACTACAAATGGGAAAAAGATATTTGAACCCAATAATTCTTGATTCCTTTATTTAATAATCTTTCTTTAGCTTTTCTTTCATGTCAGTTTTACTTTCAATTGCTATGTATCAAGATTCTTCTTTCTAGGTTTCAGTATTTTTTCTTCATTGGCTTTGAAGCCCTTTCTGTAGTCTCTTTTGGGGCCATCAGGCTTCCTAATAATCGCTTTGAAAGACTTTTTGGCTTTTCTTTTTGTTTCTTTTTTCTAGGTCCTTTCTACTTCTCCCTACCTCCTGATTCTACATATTTTTGTTTGCTGCTGTTTTTAATAGTGGCAACTCATATTTAATGTCAGTATCTAGGTCAGTTATTGGTATATAATAAACCACCTCAAAATTCAGTGTCTCAAACATTTATTTTGCTAACAATCTGCAGTTCAGGCAAGGTTCAGTGATGCTCTCTCCTTTCTTCTCCACTTAGAATTAGCTGGGGTGACCTGAAGCTGGGGAGTTTAACCATGCTTGTTCTTTCACATGTCTGACAGTTGAATATGGCTTTTAACTAGGCCTTTAGCACAGTAAATCAACTAGACCACCTACATGAGGATTCACCTATAAATTGGGCTTCCTCACAATATGGTGTAGATTCTAAAGGTAAGCTTCCCTAGAGAAAGTTACACAAACTATATCACATTTTCTAAACCAGCATTGGAAATCACACAGCAGTCTACCATATTCTATTCACTAAAAGCCAGTTATTAAGTCCAACTCATTCATATCCAGGAGAGGAAATTTCATGTGAGAAATGTCAAAGAATTTATAGATATTTTTTAAATCACCACTCTTTTTTTTTTTTGGTACCCCTAATTGAACGCAGGGGCACTCAACCACTGAGCCAGCCACATCTTCAGCCCTACTTTGCATTTTATTTAGACATAGGGCTTCACTGATTTGCTTAACGCCTTACCGTTGCTTTGAACTCAGGATCTTCCTGCCTCAGTTTCCCAAGCCACTGGGATTACAGGAGTGCACCACCACATCAGACTAAAACCACCACTCTTATCATTGTATCTAAAGGAAATTAATTTTTCCTAACTCAGTACCACTGAAATCCTACCAAATTTGTGTTATTTTTTGTTTAGTATGCTTCCTCAATATGTGGGTAGAATCAAGATTATGTGGGTACAGTCTACAAGATTATGCTATGGAATTAAGTAATTTCTGCCCCCTCCCCCCAAAAAAAATGTATGGATTATTTCACTAAATTTTATGTCCTCCTTACCAAGAAACAGTACTTCTTGGAATGCAATTCAAATTAACATAGAACATTGGCAGTTCAGAAAGACTTATGACATATCCAAATTTACAAGTTTCATTATTTACGTCTATTTTCAAAGTGTTGTTCTGGAAGCCATCTATTAATGTAGATCTATATAACTCAATATGATTATCCCTAAAACTTTATATATAATGGGGAGTGTGGATGGGAGGGAAAAAGTAAGAGATTTTCTACTGAGAGATGTCTTGGAATTATTTTAAGAAGGAAAGACATGCTGTATGACCAATGTGATTCTGCAACCTGTACAATCAGAAAAATGAGAAATTGTACCCCATTTGATTCAAACATATGAATTGTCAAGATCATTGTACTGTCATGTGTACATAACTAATAAAAATATGCATATTGAAACAAAAAATAAAGTCATCATTTCAGATTTTCCCAAAAAAAAGAAGGAAAGACATGAAACAATTATTTTTAAAAATTAGAGTCTAAGATCAAGTGCTAATATTCTGTGGTAAATATTGTGAGTGTAAAGATTATGTTTTTGTGGCTCCTGGTAGTTTTAATTAACTTTTTGGTTTTCTGAGTAATTTAAGGAACCACATTCTAAGAATATAATATATTTGATCACAACCAATTTTATGTCAGAATTTGTTATTAGTTTTGTGTTAGACTCTTCTTAGCCTGCTTCATTATAAAGCTATTATTTTATTCATGCAGATTGATGATCTTGCAGCAAAACTGGAGACTGCATCTTCAAAATGTCTACATCTGGATAAAAAAAATCAGTTTCTTCATCAGGAGCTATTATCCATGAAAACTATGCAAAAAAAATGTGAAAAACTAGAGAAGAATAAAAAAAAATTAGAACAAGAAGTAGTAAACCTTAAAAGTCATATAGAAAAGAAGAATATGGAAGAACATGGTCAACTAGAACAGTATAAACAGGAGATTGAAGACAGAGCAAGACAGGATTTAGTGGAAAAATTAAAACAAGTGAATCTATTTTTAAAGGTCAATTTATAATGTGCTTTAATTCATTTCACTGCAAATTATATTTTGAATGTATACATTTTGTTTTCTCTGTTTTGTAGGTCTTTTTAGGAAAATTATGTCTGATATTCCTTTTAAAAATTCAGTTTCTTTCATTATTATAATTAAACTGATCTTTTGACTCTTAATGCCAACAAAACTATTAGGAGAAAAAGAAAAAATTATGATGTAGTAATTATACGACTTTTGAATTGTTCTTAAGTTACATTGTTCGGTTTTTTTAAATTTTGAATTGATTCTATAATTCTTTATAGTATTGGATTACATAAGTACTAACATGAACATGATTCAGGGCTCAGGATGTAACCCAGTGGTAGAGCACTTGCCTGGCATGTTTGAGTCCCTGGGTTCCATCCCCAACACTGTGCAAAAATAAAATTCTAAATGATTCAATTTTTTATAATTTAGATTAATACAGTTGATATTGATGGTATAAATATTTTAAACTCCAGCATATTTTTTCATATATTTGGAATTTATTTCTAAGTCACTGACTCAGAACTAAAGGAAATAAATATACAATAATTGTTTGGATTATAATTATTCCTTTAATTTGCTTTAGACACAAGCAGCATCTCAGGAAAATTTGGAACAGTTAAGAGAAAGTAATAATGCCTCAATAAGAAGTCAGATGGAACTCAGAATTAAAGACCTGGAATATGAACTGTCTAAAATAAAAACACAAGAAGATTCTAATAAAATAGAACTGGAAAAATATAAACAACTCTATGTAGAAGAATTTAAAATTAGAAAATCATTACTGAATAAACTAAACAAGTAAGTTGAAACAGAATCATACAGAATAAATTAAGTTCATTAATTTGTCTCTGAAAACAATCTTTAGTTAGATTCATAAGATCAGTAAGATGGGAAAGATAATTATTGACTTAATTTTGGAAAATATTGCTGGTAAATGAACTTACCTTTAAAAGTAAAACTTTTCTGGGACAGTTTATATTACCTTTAAAAGTAAAACTTTTTCTGGGACAGTTTATATTACCTTTAAAAGTAAAACTTTTTCTGGGACAGTTTATATTACTTCCTTCATTTGTTTGTTTGTTTGGTTGGTTAGTTGATTTGGTTTTATATGGTTTTTAACCCCTTAATATTCTCATATGGCTAACCTGATTTATTTGTCTTAAGAAATTTTTATTATTATCAGATTACTTGTCAGCATTCCCTTAAATGAAAATATCAACAAGTTTAACTAATTTGGGGAGATTATGACATAAACCCAAAGGGTAAATTGCTATGAATAACACTCTCCAGGCACATTCTGCCACTGAATGAGTTAATTTTCCTTATTTTGATGATTGATATTATAATATATTAAAGTATACCTAGAAACAAAAAGTTCTTTAAAGTTTTTCTTCTCTATAAATAAAACAAAATGTGATATAGGAAAAGAGTAGCAGTGATGAGAGAAATATAATTTGCAAAGTCATTAAAAACAAGTTCTTGGTCATGTGAGGGGGTGTTTAGAAGGCAGAAAGGGCCGGTCCCTCCACTGATGCCTTGGAAATTATTATATGAGCTAATTGCCTTAGTAGCAGCTTTAAGTTCTTTTTAATCACCAACCCGGCTGTCTCACCTATCCCCTAAAGGTTGATGTCAAGTGTTTAATTTCTTCAAAGTAATGGTGAAGTAGATGGTCTAAGCAAATGCTTGCAAATATCTTTGAGAAATGTTTTTGAAATCCCTAAAATAGTTGAGTAAATACAGTATTCCCCGCTTTTTTTTCAATTTCATATTTTTAATTATATTTAAGGAGTACTATATGAGTTCTATTTTACATACTAAAATGGCTGTCATTGCCAAGAAAATTAACATATCCATCATCTCTCATAGTTACCCTTTAAATACAAATATTCCTAATGAAATCCTCAAGAATCTTGTAAGCAGAGCCCTTTAAAACATGCAACCAAAAAAAAAAAAAAAGAAAATACAAATTGCAAAAAAGAAAAATAAATAAATAAAATAAAACAGCACCATGAGTTATCTGTGCATCATTGATAGCCATTTCTCTCCCTCCTACTTTGAATTACTTGTTTGTTGTTCTTTAAAACAATTTTAAACCAATAATTGTATAAAACACTTTAATTTAAAAAGTCAGTTTTTAAAAATTCAAGTCATTTATGAGTCCTTTCGGGAAATATAAGATACTACATATTTTCCTTTTGCAATCTTCACAGGGCTAATGAAAGACTAGAGGATGTCAATACTCAACTTCTTGTGGAAAAACAGAACAGATCTTTACTCAGCACTGTTAGTCCAAGGCCTGTCGTAGAGTGCTCTTGTGTTGGAAGTCTTAATAATAGTTTGGTACTCAACAGAAGTTATTTTCCAAGAGAAAACTTAGTGGTTCCTACTTCTAACCCAAAGCCTTCAAATAAGAGCATGGAGAACTACTTAGCTGAGGTTAGTTATTTTTTTTTCCCCGTTTGGTCTCAGATTTCTGTTATAATTTTCTTTTTAATTTGGTAAAATACAGAGTTGTTTAATGTGTGTTAAGTGAAGTTGACAGTAATCTGTGTTAATAAAATAAATTTAAGATTTTTTTTAAAGTTTCTGTTGTTCATTTTCAAGAGATACTCATTTGTTAACTTTATTCATTAAATGAATTGATTCAACTTTTTTGAAAAGCTGCCTTTAAATTAGATTTTAGAAAATGAATATTTCTGCTTATAACTCAGCATATACTTTGAGATGGTTTGGCTTACTTTCTAAGAAATTTTCATCTTTTAAACTCTAAGAAATTTTAAGTTTTCATGCACCATCCCAAGTTTTCTACCTCTAATCATAAGTGAATGATTGACATCCACAAACTAAACCACATATAAATGTTTATAATTTAAAGAAATCTAATATAACTTTTTAAAGATCAAACCTGCAAAAAAAAGATTAATTTGTTTTTAAGTTACAATTTTTGCCATTTTCACAAATAAGAATATATTCTTAATTACTAGGATCTTTATCTCAAATATAGTAAAATATGCTATTGCTGCATACTATTTATTGCTATTATAATAGTTTTTAAATAGATCAATTAAGCAATATTTGAAATTTTAAATGAAGTTCACCTGTGTCTATCTTGCCTTCATTTGAATGATTGATGACTAAGATGGCAGTGATACCAAGAGTCTTGTTTCATCATTTTATTAGCTTAGTTTTATATTTTTTATGAAAAAAAAAAATGAGGATGAGGGTCTAGTACCTCAGAGGTATGAAATTGGAATACTACCTGCAAAAAGAGAATTAACATTAAATACTTAAATAAATTATTAAGCATGATTCAAATATAAAATGTTCTAATTATTTTATAGAAAAAATCAAAAAATATATCATTTTACATGAGAATGGTAAATGTAGTGTAAATGTAGTTGCAATGAAGAAGATGATTTGGGAAAAAGTTTTTTCCCAAATTTTTCTAGATGAAAGCAGCAGGTTTTGTTTTGTTTTAGTATTTCTGGACATGTTGAAGAATAATTTATTTTTAATTTAATCTAGCAGTTTCAAGGTATACATTATTTCTTTGTGGAACATTATCTTGCCAATTCATAGTAGATATTGAAAAGCACTCTCCTATCAAGATACAAATACATGTCTGTATAGCTACTAAAGAATGAATGCCTTGAAAGGTTTTTTTAAAAAATAAATTTATTTTATTTATTTACTTTTATTTAGTGCTGAGGATTGAACCCAGTGTCTCACATGTGCTAGGCAAGTACTCTACTACTGAGCTACAACCCATCCCCCTTTGACAGGTCTTATAAAATTATCATTTACAAATTTTTTAAAGAAAGAAGTTCCCTTCTATAGTTGCAAGGAATTTTACTTTTCCTGTTAGGAAAATACAAAATAAATAATATTACAAAAGGTGTTAACATACCATCTAAACTGATAGAAAATATTAGGATATTTATTGTTTTTTTGGTTTGGGTTTGGGTTTTGTTTTGTCTTGTTTTTTTTGTTTGGGTTTCTTTTTTTTTTTTTTTTTTTTACCAGAAGTTGAAACTAAGGGCACAACTCACTGAGCCACCTCTCCAGCCCTTTTTGTTTTTAATTTTGAGACAGGGTCTTACTAAGTTGCTGAGGTTGGCCTTGAGTTTGCAATCTTCCTGTCGTAGACTCCCTATTTGCTGGGATTACAGGAATGTGCCACCACATCCATCGAAATGGTAGGTTTTTTAATGAGGTATAATAAAACAACGGACATAAAGACTTACATGATTCCAGAAAGAAAATGTTAAAACTAGCATTAATAACTAAACCTTTTTACCCAACTTGCTTATTTCCAAGTTTTTAATATTTTGGACCATTCCTCTTATAAAGTTCTATCTCATAACATTTTTTCCTAACTTTAAATAAAATTGTTATATTATTGCTCTGTTCTATGATTTCAGTAGTACTGGTTGTTGATCGAGTTTTCTCCATGTTCTTATCATTTAGTTCTTATTTTATCTACTACATTATATGAAATTTAGCCTTGACACTTAGCACCATTGTAGTTACAATTACTACATATGTTTTGCTAATTTTTACTTTTAGTTTTTGCATTCTAATATAAGTCTTAGATGTTGTTCTATAGAACAAACACATAGTTTTATTTGTTTTTATTCATTTTTATTATTAAAAAATGCAGAGCTTGGGGCTGGAGATGTAACTCAGTGGTAGAGTTGGGGTTTGATCCTCAGCACCACATAAAAATAAATAAATATATTGTGTCCATCTCCAACTAAAAAAAAAATAAAAATAAAAATGCAAAGTTTTGGCCTAAACAACAGATATGTCACTACTTAGATTTTTTGGTATGTAGAATTCTTTTCTGATAACTGAAATCTTTTTTGTTTTGTTTTGGGTGCCAGGGATTGAATCCAGGGCTTCATGGGTGCTAAGCACAGACAGTACACTAAATTATATACCCTGCCCTGATAAGTGAAATCTTAAAAATGTATTCCCATTTGATAGAAGATAAAACTTACTTCCTAATACAGTGTGTGACACACAGTAGTAATTCAGTAAGTATTTTAAATAGGGAAGTTTCCCCAGTGCCCCATGATGGTAGAGATAAGCAAGTGCTCCTAACACTGAGCCACATCCCCAGCCCATTGATTGGTTTGGGATTTTTGGTGTATTACTAAAACTTCAAAATTTGAAGTGACTTATTTAAGCATAACTCTACTTCTCAAATGTCCATTTAATTTTATCAATTCTTATTCTCAATGTGACGGTCTAAATACATCAAAACCAAAACAATATTCCTGAAACTTTTAACTTTTTACATGAGGGACCATTGTATCTCCACAGACTTTGGGGGGGTCATATGTCTTCCCAAATAAATATAGACCTGTTTTCATCACCAAGGAAATGCCTGTCTGCTCCGAATTGTAACTCTAATCACACTCATATAGTTATGCTTATTACTGTGAAGACAGAGTTAAATAAACTTGTTTATTATACCAGCTAAATGTTATATAATTACAGTCCTCATTTCATTTTATCTATTAAGCCAGATGCCATTTAATCTTTTAGAAAATTCAGATAATCTTTCAACTTCTTCTAATTTTCTCCTTTCATTTATTTTTCTTTACAATATATGTATGGCTCTGTACTTCATTTTTCAGTTTCCCAATTAACAAAGGGACAAAATACAAGTGTTATTTTCTTTATATATTACCCTATTTATAATTTGATAGTGAATTGCAGTGGTTTAAAACATAAACAACTGTTTTCATTATATTTGAGTGGATATTTTTATAACATTTGAGTGCTCCTTGAGAGAATGATGTCAAAATTTAATTTTTTAAAATTGTTACTAAAAATATATTAATGGTGGAAGGTGTGTATGTACATAGTACTATGTATATTTATAAAAGTGGTCTCAAAAAGAGAATGAAACATTATTTTCTAACATGCAAGCTCAAGTACCATTTAATAGGAGCCTGTCAATAAATTCTCTTAAATAAATAAACATTTATTTTTATTGTCCTTTTCTACTGTTGATTTCACTGTATTACTCTAACTCTAAAATCTTACTTTTAACCTTTCCCCTGTGTAAAATGGGGATTGTTTTGAAATATATACAATAAGAATACAAAAAGAAGAAAATATTAGTCTAAGTCAATAGTCATCTTTCATGGGCTGTTGTGTAATAGGCAGCAAATAACACTCTTCCTCCCCATCTCAGTTCAGAATATAGGAGTCCAGCAGAGGGAGATCAACACACTAACTTTATTCCTAACACATAACAACTAATGGGTGATTGTGGCTTAGATAGGCAGTATAGTGGTCTTCTGATGCTTCATTACAGATGAGATGCTTACATACAAAGTTGTAAGTAGAAGAAACAAATATTTGACATCTATTCTGGAAGCAGGCTACCTGCAGAGATGACAGAAGACCTGATTTCACATTATTGTGGGCAGACATATCTCTTAAAGAGATGGCATATTTAGGCCAGTGCATTCAGTGTACTTCATCTAGTTTTTACACATTAGGTAAATCTCTCTTCTCATGAGTAAGGTAGCGAGAATACAAGTCCTCACTTGAGGCCAGGGAATGAAGTTCTCCTGTCATTTCTGCCTAGATTTAAATTATAATTGAAACTAAACTCACTTCTTTATATATCCCATTATCACTTTATATGTTCCAGTATTCCTTATATATCTCTTAATGATGAGAAGTCAAGAAGTATGCTGGACAGTAAAAACAAATGTGTTTTGTGTATTTAATTTTTCTATAAATAATTTGAATAATTTATTTGTGGAATAATTTTGGTAAATCCTATTTGGAGAAAATGAATAGTTCTTTTTTAAAAAATATTTTTAGTTGTACACGGACACAGTACCTTTATTTTGTTTATTTAGTTTTTTTAATGTGGTCCTGAGGATCAAACCTAGTGCCTCACACATGCTAGACATGTGCTCTATCACTGAGCCACAACCCCAGCCTATGAGTTCTTTTCCTGTAAGGAATAATTTTCTCAGTTTACAGCTTGCTTGGTTCAACATGAAAATTTTTCTCCTTTGAGTTCTCTGTTCTGTAATGTCTAAACTTTATGCTTTAAAACTTAAGTTTACTTAAGTATTAGAAGTTATGATATTAATTTGTATTCCTTTATTTGTATTGATAACTTTTAGAACTTACAGTTTATTAGAGAGCTACTCTTATATCTTAGACTTAAACATTATTGAGCTACTCTTATATCTTAGACTTAAACATTATTAAGCTACATGAAAAAGTTTTACATATGAATTTTCTCTGAGCCACACTTAAAAATCTCTCTCTCTTTTGAGAGAGAGATTAATATGAGAGAAGTAGTTGCAGAGAACTCCAAGCTCAGTAAGAAGACCTAAAGCCCATTCCTGACTTGCAACCAGTTGGCTTTGTGACCTCAACCAGCTTATATCTGAGCTTATTTTGGTTCTTATATAAAATTAGGATTGTTTTTACTTTCATAATTTTCTAAACATTTTTTCAAACAGTAGAACTTTTTAAAAATGGTATGAAACTGTATTATATTAAACATAGAAGTAAAGCTATCTGACTAAAGGATGTCTAGAGGTTTTAAAGCTCTGACTTCCTTAACCCATTATCCTTCAGTCTCATCCTTTAGTATCTTAGATTTCTATGGACATAGTTTGAAAACAGCCAATTAGGGGATAATTCTTCTAATAAGTTAAATGCATGGTACATTGTTCTATTCTATATAATTTTCTCACTTTCTTACTTTTTTGAAAAATGGAAAAGTTTAAATGAAGTTGCAAATGTTCTCCCTTTATTAAGGTTGTACTTCAGGCTTCCTTCATCATCTGAAACACAATCTCCACATAAAATAAACAGAAAGGCTACAGAGAAAATGAGGAGTGTTTTTATTAAATATGTATTTGACTTCATAATGAGATAATATAGCTTTCAATTTAATATTAAGCATAACATGAAGATTAGCAACTTACTAAACTTTTTAAATTTCTTCTGATAACATTTAGTTTACCTTAAGCTATTTTACCTTGTGAATTTCAAAAGACTTTGCTATTGAGTGTAGTTGTGCACACCTGTAATTTCAGCTATTTGGTGGCTGAGGTAGGATTGAAAGTTCCAAGACAGCCTGGGTAACTTAGAAAAAACCCTCTATTAAAACAAAATTTTTAGGAAAAAGGCTGGGGATATAGTTCAGTGATAGAGCATTTGCCTAGCATGTGTGAGGCTCTGGATTCAATTCCATTCCACCAAAAAATAAAAATAAAAAACAAGCATTTGAAGTACCCTTATCTAAAAATACAACAGTGATTAGTGTCACCAAGATACATTTCTTGTTTGTTTTTTCCTTCCATAATCTGTGGAACTCTATAAAACCATTCAACTGAATACAACAGTTCTGAATTTCTACTAAGGGAAATATGAGGAAACTATGATTTAATAGGAAAGTTAGAATTAAATGAAAGGCTTTGTTTCTTGTTTTGTTTATTTGTTTGTTTTTTGTGGTACAGGGGAATGAACCCAGGACACTTAACCCCTGATGCACAGCCTCAGCCCATTTTTCATTTTTTATTTTGAGACAGGGTCTCACTACATTGCTGAAGCTGGCTTTGAACTTGCGATCCTCCTGCCTCAGCCTCCTGAGCCACTGGGATTACAGGTGTTCACCATCATACACTACTGAAAGGCACTTTTTAAGTTATTTAACATTTGTCAAATTTAACTTGTGACCTAAACTACCCCATCCTCTCACCAGCCAGCACAAAATTGAAGTCTTTAGCACACTGGACCTCTTTAAGTATGCTTTCAGGTGACCATCTCCTGAGCAGCCCCCTCCCTCACGGTGTTCTGAGTCTTTTTCCCTCTCAGCTTTCCTTTCTTCATTGTATCTCATTCCCAAAGAGCAGTTGCCCTTAGCTGTCATTAATGGTATAAAGTATTCAAAGGTCAGTGAAAACCTGGGAGGGAATTTATGGAGGGAGAGCCCACTCTATATCCAGAAAAGAGGGTACTACTTCTACCAGGTGCTCTTTAAGAGTTCGGAGGAAAAACTGACTGCCACTTAAAATTTGTTATATCACAAGTATTCTCTAGAGAGAAAATTCATATATTGAGTACAGGGCTGAAGGTACAGCTAAGAAATAGAATGCATATTTAACATAATGCCTTGAATTTAATCCCCTGCACCAAAAGGGGAAGAAAAAAAAATGGAAGGAAAAAGAGAAAAGGGGATTTCTTCAGTATAAAACATATCTTTTGAAAGCAAAATTTTTGTATTATGCAGATATTTGTGGGTGAGATATAAAGACATAATAAAATCTATTACCTATAGTTAATTATAATAGAAGAACTTTTGGGTGAAAAGATAATAACACAACATTGGTAGTTGCTTAATTCAAGTCTTATAAAAATATATTTTACATTTGACATAGTGCTCATTAATAGTAATATGATTCTTTCAATAAAGGCTTCTCCTTTCATCCAGTATTGAGTTATTTGTACAAAACTTGTCTGTAATGCTGCTGTCACAGAAATGTTAGCAAAAACAGTGGCTTAAGATATTAGGAAACCTGTCAATCAAAACAATTTGTCATCCCACCTAAAATTCCTGAAGGTTTTAGATATCACATTATCATCATATTTGTTATGTTCAGTATCTATGTTAGGCCCTGTTTAGAGCACTCGTAAGAGAATAGCTTTTCTACAAAAATATTTAAGAACATTCTAGATTTGGACACCTGCAAAATAGTTTGAAGTATCCCTACACATTTTGTAGTTAAGTAGATAACTATAACAAATCAATGTTTTAAAAAATTGACCCTAATTTCTGAAAAGAAATAAAAGTTACATTTGAAGAGCTGTATATTTTTTGTTTCCAAATGTAGAAAGTCATGAGTCAATGAAAAGTTAACTTTGAAAACTGACTCTAACATATTTATCCTTTTTTTCAAGCAAATTTTCTGAAATCTTTGCATCCATATTAACAAAAAAATGTTTGTTCATAATCCAAATAGTATAATGTTTTAAATCATTTGTCAGTGGAATTTTTAGATAACAAATAATACCACTTTATTTATTTGTTTAAGATTCTTTGCAGAAAAATTAATAGCATAAAACATATATTAAAGTTTTGATTTTATAAAAGTAGAGAATGGAAATGAAAAATCCATTAGAGTAAAAAAATGAGAAATTTTATAAAGGGCAGAGTTGCTTAGAATCACAAAGTCATGCTTTCAGTATAAGATATGAATTAAATTGATTAACCTTTGTGTTAATAAAACAGCATCCTTCTTAGAAGTCTTAACTCCATGGGAAAAGAAAACATCCAAGAGTTTGTGTCATTACCGTAATCACCTTACTAGCAATGTGTGGCTTTTAAAATCTTAGAGATTTGCAGTCTTAGTCTGCAAAATGACATTTCGGATTTACCAAGTTAAAAATCCACCTGTGTTTGCTGAATGTGTAAGTGCTAGATGTGGCTTTAGATTCTGTCCCTGAAGCTTAACATAGCTGGCCCTGGCAGCATGGGAAAGCCCCCCATGAATGTAGTAAGCAGCTTGCCTGGGTCACCATGGCCTGACCTCAAACCAGCTTAAGGCTTTTAAATCCTCTCTCAGAATTTGCAATTCCAGCTTCTCTCCTTCCTAGTGAGAGAGCAAGTGGGAAAGGATTAAATATAGCCATAGAGGCTCATCAGGACACTTGATAACTCTGGAGTTTTTAAAAGCTCCCAAGAGAGGATTTTTCAGCTAAATGCCAACCCCAGAAATAATTCCATTTTAAACAGTTCTCATTCATCCATCCTTCACTACAAAGGCTAAGCTTGACCGCCTTTAGCCAGGCAGACACACTAATGTATGTTTTTTTTTAAGAGAGAGAGAGAGAATTTTAATATTTATTTTTTAGTTCTCCGCGGACACAGCATTCTTGTTTGCATGTGGTGCTGAGGATCGAACCCGGGCCCCACGCATGCCAGGCGAGCGCGCTACCGCTTGAGCCACATCCCCAGCCCTAATGTATGTTTTATTCAGCAATGTTATACAGAAATCCACTAGTTGAGTTTGGGAATAGGAAATGAAATTGCCTCTCAGTGTAAGGAATGGCCCAAGCCAGCTTCCTATTTGATTTTTTTTTTTTTTTTTAACTGATGGATGGTGCAACATGCCTACATGGCTATTACTAAACTTTATATAATGTGTGATTTCAGTTCAGCTTGAAAAATAATCTCATTACATGTAGCAATACATTATATGTACTGTTAGTATTTCCATTTTGAATCCTTGTTATTGCAATGTAAAAAGTAATGCCTACTTTTTAAAACGTGTTTGATATGCTAAGTATTGTGCACAATTTAAACTTTTTTTTTTGCTTTTTCTGTTTTCTGGTTGTGTGCTTCCTTTTACAACAAGCCTCTAGAAACAGTTTCTGAAAGTTACTGAGCTGTTTGTAATGCAGATGTACTTAGGGAATATGTAAAATAATCATTTTAACAAAAGAAATAGATATTTAAGATTCAATACTAATTCAGGAAAAGGGTCTCTTGTGTAAAACGTTTATCTTTGGGTTCAGTGTTTGTCTTTGGTTTTACAAAATAATGTGTATTTTCAGTTTTTTCTATATAATATCATAAATTGTAGAGCGATTGCAATGTATAAATAAAATGGGTAAATTTTTTTGGAAAAAAAAACATCCTTCTTAAATGATATATATATACTTAATTGGCCAATATTATTTATATTTTTCATCAGATTAAATACATATAAATTGTACATATAAATTCTCTATTAATACTGAAAATAGGAATTTTGTTTAATTTGTAATTTTTGTAAAGTAATTCTCAAGTTAGATCTAGTTTCTAAAAGCCTTATTTAAATTAGGCCACATGTTTCTAAGTGATATAACATTCTCATAATAATGTCTCCTATTTAGCTTAAACATTATAAATACTGTTTAACTTATTTCAGATGCAGCAGAAGTTGGAAAAAAGTATAACTAGAGAACTAAAAGAAGGTATGTGGACAAAATTCATTTCATTTAGATTAATTTATTTATGAAATAAACTATAAATTGCAAATGGCATCCCTTTCCTTTGTTTAATAGATTCTACATTAAATATTATTTTCTAATATACTTTGAGTGAAAGATGTAAATTGTAGACATTGCTAATGAAGAATATACTTATTCCTCACTTATTTGTGTTCCATAGCTTTTAAAATTTTCAACAAGTTCATGTAACTCTTTTTTGCTCAACACTTTCTTCTTCACTTCTGCCATCCCTATGAAACTTATGAAACTGTCAATCTGCACACTGAAATTGTTCTTATAAAAGAACAGGTTTGTAACAAAATCCTGGCCTCATCTAAGTAACACTTAGTCAAGCAATTGTAGTTCATTAACTATTACATGATAAGTCTCATTTTAAATCTCCTGTCACTTACTTAGTCATTGCTTTATGCTTTGCCCTAAGGAAAATTCCAAATTCCTTAGCATGAACTAAAAATACCCAAACCAATTTGATTCTTGGCATTTTCTTTATTCAGTTTTATCACTTAGTGTGCTCTGCTTCTTGGCTCTAGACTCTAGCCACACTGAACCACTTATAATTCCACAAGTGTTCTTCATTACTTCTAGCTGTTTGCATGTACTTCTTTCCTCTTTCTGTCATACTTTGTCTTTATCCTTTGGGTATCAAATTACATATCACCTCCAAAAAGCCTACAATACTGATACAAACTGGGATACAAATCCCTTCTGTGTGTTTCAGTAGTGCCCTATTTGATACGTGATTCTATAGCATATGCCTGTCCATTTGTGTTTTCAGGTTGTGGTATATGATTGTTGTGGTGAACTGTATCATCTTGTCATTCCAGTGCTTATCATAGTACCTTAGAACATAGTGGTTGAACTGATGACTGGGAAAACCAGAACTCTGATACCCAGCTATAATGATATTCAGTGTGCAGCAATGAACAAATTATATTTAATAGTGATCTGAATTATAAATATACATACATATTTTTCATTCTTATTAACACTGATAAAATTCTCAATTTTAATTTTATATTGTTTAAATAAACAATATAATTATGATAATATTATTTAAATAAACAATATAATTATGATAATATAGTTCTTTCTTTTTCTCTCCAGTGGCTAATGAACTTGAATCTGGGTCCCTTAGAGCTTCTCCCCTAGGATCTACTCATAAGTCAAGTCAAGATCTACTTTCAGAAGCATCACAAGAATATGTAGAGATTTTAAAGAAAAAATACATGATCTGAATGTCATCTATTAGACTGTTTATATAACAGTTAACATGGTTTCCCAGACATGTATGATATGAAAATTTTGAAGTAAAATATTTTTGGCTATCATATATGTATGATGAAATAATATATAGTACTTTAAGCTGTTTCTTGGCATCTGTAACTAACTTTTAAATGGATTTTGCGAGTGAAAACTAGTGTTATTGACTTTTGCATACTCAAATTCTCAAAATGCCAGCTATTTAAACAGTACCCAAACAATCGTCTTGTCACTAATACTTTGGTAGAATGAAATATCATTTTAGTGATAGCTTATTTGTACTTTTCAATTTTTATTAGTATATATGTCTATAAATTTAAACATCATTTTGGTATAATGATACTGTAGCCCTTGTCAGTGTTTTTATGTAGTACAATAGTTACACTGCCATCAAACTTATATAATTTTAATTTTATTGCATTATTTTATTTTAAGCACTAATTAATTGTTCTTTCCTCATGGAATTATTTTATGCAACTATAGTATAACAATCAAAGTCAGGAGATTAAAATTGATTCAGTATTAATATTTAATCTACAAAGCTTGTTCAGATTTTGCCAGATATCCCAATAATAAGCTGTATATATCCATTATTTGTACTTTTTTGCTCAGTGATGCAAAGCTATTTAACACGCAAGAGAATTAAACAAATAAGTAAATATTCTAAGCATGAAGGGACACAGGTTACTATCAGAAAAATTAGCTACAGAGAGTTTAAGGTTGCCGCCACCACTAGAGCATATCACCAATACCAAACAATATAAACTTCCTGGAGGGCAAGAAGAGATAACTGTGACTGTCATGGAACTGGAAAAAGTGGGCATGATATGACCCACCTGTAGTCCTTTCAACTCCTTAATGAGACCAGTAAAGAAACTAGATGAATCCTGGAGGGTGATAGTGTACTGTTTTGAGCTCAATAAAGTGGTTCCCCAATGTATGCTGCTGTTCCTTCAATGGCTTACCTGATGGACCATTTGACTATGAATAAGGAATTCAAAAAAGACCTGGGGAGTCACCCAAGTAGTCTCTGTTCAGGGTCAGTAAGCAGAGGGGAAACTGACTCCTTTGGTTTTAGAATTTGTGGAATTGGGGCAGTACAGATATTTCATTCTAAACATATCTGTATGAAAGTATGTGAATGAGATAGACAGCAGAGGGGTTCTGACCCTACTCGAGCCAAAGCAAGTTTTTTTCCCGACCTACCGCTCTGTGGTACCTCATACACTTTGAGGCAGAATTCCACCAACCAAGATCTAGGTAGAAGCTCCAGATCAGGGGCTGATACTGACCTGAAAGGCTAACAAGACCATAAGTCCCCGAAAAGGGAATACCTGGAGATAAATGAAACAAGTCTTGTCCTTTGTGTAATACCAACAGAGGGTAGAACATGGGAAGCACAGAAAGTAAACTAAGTCTTTTAAAATGTATGTTAGAAAACTTTAATATTTTAATGGTTACTATGCAGTGAAACTCACTCCACAAAATTCTCTAATTCTCCGTGAATTAGAATGGCCATGTAGGTAGGATGGCCACCAGAAGGATCTTTAGACAAAAGTGTCATTGGCGAGGTCCTTTTAATAGTTATCAGAACCCCTGGACACCCAGGCCAATTCCCTTATATTGATTGCTGGCAAAAGATAATACAGATACAGCCCTCTTGGTTGAGAGCCTGTCTGGAAGGACAGTCCAAGTTGATGTTATTTTAGACTGTATAGCCTCTAAGACCCACCTAAAGGAAACTAAACAGAAGAAAAACCTGACAAAGACAAGACATAAAGGAAACCAGTTTTTCCCCGTGAGCCTTTGTGTATGCCAGCCTTTCACCACCATTGATCTCTTGAACTGGAAAAATCATACTTCCTCCTACACACAGACACTCTACGCCATGATTGAGCTGATGCAGTCTAATATGCAGATACACCAACCCACCTAGATTGACAGAGGAATGCAAACAAGGTGACCAAGCAGCTTTAAAGTGGCTAGAGGAACACGCTATGGACACACAAGGCAACATCCAAGCCTATGTCCAGTCCCAGTTTTCCAATACAGAGCCAGGGTGGGACCCCAACAAAGTGGAGGACCTCTTATAGATAAACATCAAAAGGCCCTAATAGGTAGCCTGAAAGAAGGGAGAAGGAGAGGCTTTAACATGAAAAAGATATCAGAAGTACTCCAAAAGCCTGATGAAAGGCCCAGCCAGTTCTATGAATGACTATGTGAGACCTTCCAACTCTTCACTCCTGAAGACACCAGACAACAGCAGGTAAAATAAACCCAGAGAGACATTCACAGAAAACTCCTAAAACTTTGCAGGACTTTGCTAAAAAAAAAAAAAAAAAAAAAAAAAAATTACCAGTGAGTTGATTAAAATGGCTACCACAGTTTTCATCAACTGAGACCAAGAGTCAGACCAAAAGATGAAGAAAGATGAGTCTCCTTGCAGCTACCCTCACTGCAAACCCAGAGGTCACTCAAAGGGGGGTCCCACTAAGACAAGGCCAAAACAAGTATTAAAATTAAGTCCAGATGCAGGGCTGAAGAAACATAAATGGGAGGACAACCTTATCCCAGGAAAAGGCTGAAACTAAGCTGATGTGCCTTCTGCCTTCTAGAGGGCCATTGGAAGAAACAGTGTCCCCAGCTGAAGGACAGTTGATCTGAACCAGGCAGCCACAGGGCTTTTTAAGAGCCTTTCCGGCAAAACAATATGGATGCTGACCTCTGATATGCATTCCCATTGATCTGTTGCTGGCAACCTGAGAAAACTGCATGAAATAGACACAACTCATTCTCCTATGTAAAACTGGCTACAAAATCTCAAAAGGAAGAAAGTCCACTCTATCAAAGAAAAGTTAAGTACCTTGGTTTTTATCAGACTCAGAGACAATGTCAACTGGGACGCCAGAGGGAACAGTGTGTTCAATTCCATTCCCTTCAAAAAGTTCCTATGTGCTGCTGAATTCAGACAGATATGAATCCCTAACTTTTTGGTTATGGTCAAACCCCTCTATCAGGCCACAAATGGGGGGTGGGGGGCAGGATCCTCTGATGTGGAAAAACAAAAACAAAACAAAACAAAAAAGCCTTTTAGGGCATTGAACAAGCACTCACCAGTGCACCTGAACTAGGACTGTCCTTGACCTCAGAAAACTTTTTTTCCTCTGTATGTCCATCCATGGTCTAGAATAGTTGTAGGAATCCTAACTCAGTTGCTGGAGACATGGCACCATCTAGGGGCCTATCTTTCTAAATAGCTGGATTCTATGGTTCAAGACTAGTCACCTTGTATATGGGCCCTTGCAGCCATAGCTCTTCTGGCATTAGAGGCTAACAAGGCAACTAAGGGACAGGAAATGACAATCTATAGCTATAGCCTATAAAGGTCTAATTTATATGCTAAACTGGATTACTCTCAAATTGTACTGGAAAATATTACTAATCAAACTGCTACAGCCTTTGCTTGCTATGGTTTTCTGCTCTTGGTAGATTCAAAAGCTTAAATGACATAGTAGGTATTATGCTTTAAACTTGTTTATTGCTTCCATGCTTGGCTCCCTTTTAATTAAAACTATTGAGTTTACTATAGAATTACTAAAAGCCACAGCCAAGTAATATGATGCATGGCATTTTTGGTTGAAAGGTGATGCCAGCAAGCCATTGAGATGATATGATTATGTTAAGATTTGCATTCATATGGATATTGGACTCCTGCTGTTCACCTCAGCCTGCTATGGGACTCCTGGAGAGTTCCCATTGGTTGGGGAAGTGCGGCAATCTTCCCGGGAGCCTACGGGGCATTGGCGGCAGTTTCAAAAATAAAGTTTGTTCCTGCTTAAGTGGCTCGTGATCTTGTGCCCAGCCAGACTGCGGCAATTGGTGGCCTGTGCGGGGACGCCTGAAGCTTGGAGGTGAGTAAAATTGCTCGCCCCTGAGGGAAGGCGAGAGAATGGGTGACCATTTCAAAAAACAATGTGTTCTTGTTTTGATTTATTTTGTTTTTGTTTCAAGCTGCCTATCCCTAGAATTTTCTCAGGCAAACTGGGAAAAATGGTTGGCTCAAGGTTTGAAGTTGTTCGGCCCTGAGAAAGAGAAAATTGATTTTTTGTTCTGTTTTTGTTTCATTCTGTTTCGGTTTTGTTTTATGCTATCTTATTGGGTTGTGTTACCTTTATAGTAGATTAGAAACTAGTAAAAAACAAACCGAAAGACTGTTAAGTAAATTGTTAGAGGTCCAGACTATGGTAGAAAACATGTTAGGTCAAGCAAAAGAGAAGGTCTCTCGAGCTAGTCAGACAGAGGAAAATTTAAAGGAAGAAAGCTTAGAGGAAAAACAACCATCAAGGGGGGAGTTACAACAGGAGGCTGCTACTAACTCCATTCTATCACCAGAGGGCGTAATTGAACCAACAGCTCCATCTACAGCTGAGCAGCCCTCAACTCCCGTAGTTGATGGATGGAATCCTGAGGCAGGACCTCAAAGATTATCATGCCCTGTACTTGAGCAGGCAGGAGGGCAACGAATTCACCGTGCTTTAGATTTTAAAACAGTGAAGCAATTAAAGGAGGCTGTAAAAACCTACGGCCCGCAAGCACCCTTTACCATAAGTATGGTCGAATCTATTATCAACTTGGACATGACACCAGCAGATTGGGCTAACATGTGTCGATCTGTGCTAAATGGAGGACAATATTTGTTATGGAAGGTTGCCAATGAGGAATTTTGCACGGAGACAGCTAAGCGAAATGCAGCAGCCGGTTACCCTCAAAGAAATCTAGAAATGTTGTTAGGAAAAGGACCTTATGAGGGTCAACATCAACAAATTGAATATGATCCTGGTGTATACGCACAAATTGCTGTAGATGCGGTTAGGGCATGGAAAACTTTACAGGGCCATGGAGATTTACAAGGACAATTATCTAAGGTAATACAAGGAACTAATGAACCTTACACTGAATTTGTAGATAGGCTTACTCAAACAGCTTCTAGAATATTTGGGGATACAGAACAGGCAATGCCATTTATAAAACAACTGGCTTCTGACCAAGCAAATCGTTGCTGCAGAGAGGTCATTAGACCATGGAGACATGAAGATTTAAACACATATATTAAATTATGTAGAGACATTAATGAACAAGGGCAAGTCTTGGCAGCAGTACAACAGGCTTTAGATGCCAGGCCAAAAACATGCTATAATTGTGATCAAACAGGACATTTTAAAAGGAGTTGCCCCATAGGAGGAGGGTTTAACAAAGCTAGGTATCAAAGGAATAGAATACCGGGTATTTGCCCACGATGCCGTAGAGGGAGACATTGGGCTAATGAATGCCGTTCTCAAACCACCATAGAGGGTATTCCGTTATCAAAAAATGGACAAGGACCAAGTGTTTACCCATGATATCGTGGAGAAAGGCATCAGGCTCCATTGCCAAAAAACGGACTGGGGGGCCCAATGCTCCGGGGCCCACAACCACAAATATACAGGGCAATGGAGGAACCCAGCAGCACCATCAAGGTAATGCCCAGGACACATTATCCATTAAATCCCTCATCAAACTAGAGGGAACGCAGGGTTGGACATCTGCACCTCTGCCAGAGCAGTACAAACTCCAGAGATGGGAGTTCAAATCATTCCCACAGGAGTAAAAGGACCTCTTCCCCGAACAGTAGGCTTATTATTGGGACGCAGTTCTTCTACACTAAAAGGACTTATGATAAGTCCTGGGGTAATTGATCCTGATTATGAAGGTGAAATAAAAATTATAGCTAGTTCTCCAAGAGGTATATCAGTAATTTCACCAGGAGATAGAATAGCACAGTTATTAATAATACCCAGCCTACATGATAAATTTTCCAGTCGTACTGTAGAAAGAGGTTCCGGGGGATTAGGCTCCACAGGTGTAGATTGGGCTATACTGTCTTTAAATTTAGATTCTCGC